TTTTTTTTTGACCCAATGTAAATATATTGTTCAGTTTCAGAATGGTTCATGAGAATGCAAAGTGGCAGACACTGTTGCAGAGGCTTAGTGCATGGTATGGTATGTGAATTGAAAGTGCTATAGTTATATTCAGATTTCTAGTGAGTTTGCGTGTCATAATGGTCAGTCACGTGTGGATATTGTGACTGTTACCATAGATTCCAGCAAGCAGGTCTAACTTCACACTATAGGAGCAGTAACAAGTGAACATTTACCAGACAGTCATAAGTTAAAGGATTCCACTATTTCAGTGGAACCTGCCACTCCATATAACACGTCAAAGGATTGTGCATCAATATATGAAAACTTTCCATACCATGTGCATCAGTGTAATTCTGTGGCTGCCTGGTATAAACTATGCATAACTTTCTCAACATGTAACATTTTAATAAGCTGTACTTGCATTACTTTATTTTCTACACAGTAAATTCTATGACATCTCAAATGCATAGCCTTGTATTTTCCTGTATTTCTAAACATAGATCAAAAATTCATGACAACAATGTGCTCTATTTCCTAGCTTTGGAAAATCAGAATTTTGTTGAATTTAGTCATTATAATGTACAACAATAACAGTAACAATTTTATCAATTTTTGTGTTTATACAAAATGGTCTTTAATACCATTAACAAAACCAAAGAAAAGAACAGCTTTTTGCTCTGTTTGGTTTTGCTAGCTATTAAGAATTGTTTAGAGTTTTTTGCCTCTATGGATTTTATCAAGTTTGAAATAGTATATTTTGAATAGTGTTGGATTTCTTTAGAAATTTCTGAAATCTGATCTATTGTTATAGATCACTTGATACAAATTAGTGTTTGTTTTTCACCTGACATTATGTACTGAAACAATTTTTTTGTAAAAACAAAGTATCTTTTTATGCATCCAAAACAGTGTCTAAATAAGGTGAACAGACTAATTTCAAAGTTTTGATTAGTTAGCATACAATATTAAAATCTTAAGAGACACTGTTCTAGAACCTGGTTGAGCCACCTGTAGCATGAATACAGTGATATGGGCAGGCATGGAAGCATATGAGTGCCATATGATGTCCTGCAGCATCTAGGTTCACAATTACTGCAAGCAGTTCTCTAGTTTGGACAAACTCTTAGGCTGGTCCAACTTTGCATTACAGATGATCCCAGATGTGTTTGATCAGTGATAAATCCATCACAATGCCATTCTTTCCTGGTCTGTTAGGGAAGTGGCACACTGTGGCTGATTTGTCAAACCTGTGACACCCTTTGTGTGGTTGAGTATTGTCCTGTTGGAAAATGGCTCTTGGAAGCCCTATCTTGAGAGGCAACACATGGCTGCATGATGTCACTAACATACCACTGGGCTGTCATGGTCCCTTGGATCACTATTAGAGGTGACTGGTTGTCATATGTGATGGCACCTCAGATGTGTACTACAAGGTCCTCATCACTTTCAACAGTAGTGTCATGCACCAGTCCTTTGTAATCCCAAAAGTGGTAGTCAAGTTGTGAAGTCTGGCAGTCTTGCAGGCCAATGAACAGGACTGTATTCTGAACATATGAGCAGTCTTGTGGCCAAATAATGCCATCTACCATATGAATATGGTGTTTGACCCACCATTGATGATATTTTGATTTGTCTTTGTGCAACCTACCCCTCCCAGAAGTTTGTATATGCTTAGCTGAATCACCCTGTATAACAAATCATTTATTGTAGAAACAGAATAGCATTACATTCTTTCAATATAATCTTCTACCATATCACCTGGCACACATGTGGAAGGTGCTACACACCAGTAGCACAACTGTACCTGAATGAGCATCTTAATGCTCAAAGGATGGTCTATCTTGTGTGGAAATGCTTTCCTGTGGTTTCTTTAGCTTGGGGAAGAGATTGAAGTTTCAAGAGCTCATATCGGGTAAATATGGAGGGTGTTAGAGTGTCTCATCTCACTGTTCTGACAATTTTCTTACAGGCTCAGCAGTGTGACAGCATTGTCATAGAAGAAAATGGGAGTGTGTGTTTTGATATACTGCCATTTCCTTTGCACTGTGGGACAAAGATGATCCCAATTCCCACAATAGTCCCAATACTTGGATAGTTTAGGGCAGTCTAATTTGACACCATTAAGTAACTGCTTTTTTCTTGATTAAATGCTTTACACAAGTGCCACTAGGTATATAAAATAAATTTGCCTTTCCTTACTAAGTCCAGAAATCAATAGCACCCCTCTTCCTATGTAGCATGACAACAGTGTTGCCACTACTTTCTTTCCAACCTTCATATATAATTTTGTGAACACAGTATACTTTTTAATTACTTATAGTAAAATTTCCTTGTGTGTGTGTAAGTAATGAAAGTATACTGTGTTCACAAAATTTATAACACTAAACTGTTTTATCTTTGTTTTAATAATAGAAGTGGTGGTGTTCTGAGATTTTTCAAAAATGTATAGACAAAATGATGGAAACTTTAAAAATTTTTAAAGGTAGTTTAATACTTTGTCTCAGCTAAAGGAAGTTGGGACAGTGCAGCTTCATGTTGTGGCATGGTTTCAATTAGTAGCATTACAGAGAGTAATACTTTAATTCTTGGCTTGCTTATTTTTTAGCACAAAATCTTAATTTGCCAGATAAAATTAGTTTCCTTGAAAAATTTTTACCAGTGCTTTTGAAAAACTTATCTTCGTCGTGATTTTTTTGTATAAGTAGTGCTTATCCAGTCGTCTTCCACAGCAATTTGCAACAATGCAACATCTTGTGGTTTTGCCTCCTGTCACTTTCTTTGTTTTACCCCATATGTTCTATATGGTTCATATCAGACTTTTCTGTCTAATAGTAGAATTGACTATTTTCCAAACCATTGTTTGGTTTGGAAACCAGCTAAATGGAATGGTGCTCTAGTCTGCTGATAAAGTTCCAAGTTCTCTTTTCCACTCCTCCTACAATAAAATTGAGCAGTGGAAATTGATTTTATAGTACAGGTAACCCCCGTATAACATGACACTTCTATAGCACGGATTTGCTCTAACACAGTTCGAGAATTGGTACCATACCCCGTATAACACGGTACTTTTATAGCACGGATTCACTCTGATGCGGTTCGAGAATTGGGTAAAACCCTCGTACAACAGGAAATGTAATAAATTTTTACATACTTAACTAATAATAGTTCACAAAAATTATTATTTTCGTGAACTATTAGTACTTAAGTATGTAAATTTTCTCTTCTCACCTTCTGTCGATACACCTGATCCTTCTCGAAACTTGTTTCAATGTTGCCAGATCGCAACGCTTCTGCTTCTGATGTTGCCGAATGTTTTTCCCTTATTCCATACTTGCTTTATTCTTCATAAGTGCTTAGCACCATATAAGGAAATTTATAAAGACCTTTTAACTAGAAGCAAGCAATCTAAAATTACATACATTTTGCAAAAGGTAAAGCATGGATCTGAAGATAATGCAGAAAAATGCTCAGAGGATAAGGATAACTTGCCAAAAAGAAAACGCTCTCGATTAATTGTGTTTTTAGTGATGACGAAGAAAATATTGTTTAATTTATATTAATATGTATCACTTAAAAAAAATTTTAATGAAGATATTTATCTTAATTATGAAAATATACTAGCATGTTTTTTAATTTTTGCAACCTAACCCTCCTTTTCGTATTAGTTCTTTGTTTTGTATAACACGGATTCGCATAACACGGCAATTTTTTGGAACGTAACTACAGTGTTATACAGTTAAAATACAGGGGTTACCTGTATTTGAAAGTAGCCAGCCAATTTCAAATTGTGTTCAGTCACTTCAACACTATTAGTGCAGATTGTGCCATAAGTCATGACACTAATTGGAAACTTTACCTTCTGATCTACCTATACAAACAGCCTATTTTTTGTGTGGACAGCAAATAATTTGTAGTTAGATATTATTAAATAACAACAAAACAACTCATCATTAAACAAAAGATTCTATTTATTTGGTTCAAGTTTTGTAATCTGCTTAGATAAGTTTTCTCATGCATTTTGTTAAGAATGGTTTCTTGAACTCTTGAAACAAAGCATGATTATATTTTTAAATACCAACTATTAGAAATAAACATTATCACTAAACTCCATATATTATAAAGCTACACACCAACCAATGTCAAATGTTATCAGGCTAGAAACTCCTCACTCTAGTGCCAAATTGTTTCATAATTTATTAGTATTATAGCCATTTCTAGCCAGGTAACGTTTGGCATTGGTTGGTGTGTAACCAACTATTAGTTTTAGCTGACACACATTTCCCACTTATTTCATTCCAAGTAACAGTCAGCAGTTGAAGTGGTGGAATTTTTTTTATTTTCTCTTACCAAGATCTCAAAGATAAACACATCTTCACTAGATGTCATATTTTTTTTCTCGGCCTGGTTATTTTGATAGCTTCCATTTTTCAATTTTTTACTTCAGGTTTGTTTTCATAGGTCATGGGTTTGTACCACCATATATATATGGATTTTCATGTTTATAACACCTAAATAGGGCCAGTTTTCAATGTTCTCCTGGAGGCATCTTCCTTGACAGATTGCTTGTGTGTTGCTTTGCTGTATCCTACCAAACCAAACAATATGTTAGGTTATAACAGATTAGACAAAAATTTAAAGCATGCCTTAACATTTAATCTGATTTTTATTAATATACTAAACACCTTTCAATGGAATTCACAACAATAAAAGTTTTAAATGTTAAAACATTCAGTTGTATAAACTTTACAACTAAATTTACAAGTTTGATAAACTGAATAAGAAACTTTATTTTGAAATGAAATTGCAAATTTAAAGTGTAATTAGTGTTGGTTCTAAAATAGAAAATATTGTCAGAATATAACTATAGAAAATAGTCATATTTTAAGTGTTTTTATTTGTGAAATGTTAAATGCTCTTATTGATGAAAAATGAATATTAAAATGTATAAGTTCAATTTTATAGTTGTTTCTATTTTTCAGGAACGTAGAAACAAAGATGGGAGATCTAGTCCTGATGGTACAGGAAGTATTGTATCACCTCCAAGTGGTTCTACAAAAACAAATCCTTTCTTGGCTTCTCCTGCTACTGAACAAGGTATTCCAACAAGTAATCAAGGAATAATTGACTTGTTTTCTTCTCCTCCTGCAACTTCAACTACTGCTCCAGCTCAGTCAAGCGAATCAAGTGATCTGTTATGCATGGGAAATAATCCATTTGCAGATAGTTTATTTGGTAATTCAGCCCAACCACCAACTACTCAAACTCCATTTGTCTCTTTTGGAACTAATGGTAAATATTTTAAATTATCAGATGTTAGAATACTACAGCATTTTAGGATTTATTTTGTAACAATATATTTTCAAATTGTAACTTAGATCTAATTTTGCTTATAAGACTATAAATTCATAGATTATATATCTTTTAATTTGATAAACTTCAACTTAATATATCTTCTAAAATTATTTACATGTTTGAATGCAAAATGAAGTTTTTAAATTCAAAGAATAAATTTTTTTTGCATTTCAAAACTATTACACTCCTTTTAGTGGTTTTTCCCCCGTTTTAATGGATTAAAATGTTCTTAAAAATTTACAAAATTACTGCTTATAGAAGGATATTTGCATTTTCAAATACTAAATTAAAATTAGTACTCTTTGTGATTTTGAATACAATGATTGAAACAAAATGCTATTTAATTTAAATAATAAAGTAACTGTGTTTAAGTAGACACAACTGAATGGAGTGAATATGAATTAGTTACCTATAGAACAAAATTCTAAAGACATTAATTAATCTGTTAAAGATTTATCTTAATTATTTCATACAAATTTAAAATCTTTCTTGAAATGTTAGCATTATTCTTAATCCTATAACTTCAAATTTTGCTTACATATACTTAGAAGTTTTTGAAACTTATTAGATTTTGATAAACATTTTGATTTAAAATTATCAGGACAATAATTACTTGTAAAATTAATAAACAGTTTAAGACTATACAATAACAAGTCAATTTTGTTTAGTATTTGTTTAATTTGAATTCTGTAAAAGATTTTATGAACAATAAATATTCATAAAAACTTTTTAGGATTTAATGCTACTACACCCAGTGGTCAAGGAGGTTTTGTCAGTGATGCTTCATTTGCTGCTGCTTTTGGTAGTGGAACTCAAGCTACAGGTAAATATTTTCACCTTTTTTTTCATTTAAAAAAAGTCCTTATGTGATTTTTCATTTCATTCATTTCTGTTATGGACTGAAACCAATTTATTCTTCAGATTTTTTGTTAAATATTTACTAAATTCTGTTTTTTGGTATTATAATTTCAAATACTAAGCTTTTTTATTATTATTTACTAGTTTTATATTAAAATATTTCTTATGTCATTGAATACAAACATATTTAATTATTAAAAAATACTTAATATTTTGTTGAATGATTTTAAATTTAATTAAGAATGTAATGTATATGTATCTGAAAGAATTTTTTGAAGCTGTAATGCTAAGTCCATAATGTGTTCCAAGTGTCTGATGTATCATTGAAAGTTGTGTTAAATATCTTACTCTTATTTTTTCTTGTTTGACTTAACACATGCATTTTTGGTAACTAGTACTGTGTAATAATGTTATCAATGAGGAGGATTTAATCAAATTTTAAAGTTACAGAACAGATGTTTCTTAATTTCTATTTTAAGAAATTTTATTTCAAGTTTTAAAGGGAAGAAATTAATGTAAGAAGTAAATTAACTATTTTTCTAATGAAAGATTACATACATATGTTGAAAGTGTGTGTATATAAACTTTTTAAATGTTAATCTTAATGTGTAAGAATCTAATTAAAAATTAAATTTTTTTGTAATACTGATTAGAATTGACATTATTTGAAATATAAAAATGAATTGTCACTGTTTAATCAATTTTGGATAAATTGATTTTAAGATTAAATTCATTACTTAAGACTATTTTTACATTTATAATTAATATATTATATTAAAAATACCCAAGTTTGAACCATTCATTATTATAGAATTGCTAGAGATGGGCAAATAGCATCCCATGACTATTCTAATACTAAAAAGTATTAGATTGGATATCCAATTGATGATGATAAATTTTAGTTATGACTTACAATGGCAGATGAGTTAGCTCCTCCTTTGAGTACTAAAGTTTAAACACTGTGTTAATTTTAATTGTCTCGTATATTTTAATAAAGGGAATTGTATTGTGGATAGTCCAATAAATTATGTAATCATGACTGTTTTTAAATTGTTTTGAAGTTTAAACAGATTTTTATAAATGTATCCCTTTTGTCTATTTCACTCTGTAAAAATGGTGCCTCTTCAGTACCTCTGATTTTTAATTTGACAAGGAAAGCAGAATAGATCCTAAATGTTCATTCTTGTTTTCTTAAATTGCAGTAGGTGTGAATAGCTTTGTTAATCTGTTGTAGTTGAAACAATGTAAAAAAGCTTCATTGTAGAAGTTCAAATGAAACTTCAAACTTAAATTTTAAGATAGTTCGTTTTATTTAAAACCAGTGTTTTTGACTTAAGTCAAAGTGAAATAATGATTTGAATACTTGTTACAATCCTTTTTATAATGAATTAAGTTGCTGTAACTAAGTATTGTACAAATGAATTACTCTTTTTATAAATTTTTATTGAATGTGATGTCTTAGTAACAAGAAAAACATTTACTTGTCAATTGTAATGTCTGACTTAAGTTTTCCAAAATTGGGCAAAAATCTATTATGACAAATTTGAAGTTATAAGTGATACTTTTCCTTCTCAAATATATATAAAAATGCATGAAATTTTTGCCATTTCTTTTTTTGCTAATATCTATGCATGCACAGCTTCTATAGATCTAATTTTTCCAAGTTTTAAATTATTTACCAATGTTACTCTACATTTTCTCTCTCTCTTCATAGCTTAATGTTTAAGTTTATTAAAACATATTCTAAATGCTCAAAATAAAAATGTTAATTTTAGGTAATATATATATATATATATATATATATAAAATCAGAAGTATTACAGTAGTTATGTCAACTTAAGTGTAAACATTAATTATTCTTTGGATAACCTAGCTTAATGGTTCTTAAACTTTGGAATTTTATCAGTTTCAAATTTAAGAATTCATTGCTTGTCATAAGACTGATATCAGCTAATTTAATATTTGAAAATTTGTTGCAGTTAAAGCTACTTATGTACTATTTTAAGTAGATCAGCAAAGTGATGCTCAAGGATTTAATATATATGAACTAAGCTCTGGAAAATAACTATATTTTAAGTGTGTTTGGCTTTATATTGACGATTTGAGTAAGTGAAAATGCTGCTTATAACCACAACATATGCATTAACTTCACATGTTCAAATGAATTTTAATTATGCAGTTCTTAATAAAATTCAAAAAATATAAATATTATAATGAAGATTAGAATTTCATAATTTATTTCTGAAGTAAAATACTTAAAATTGAAATCACAAATGTAGTTTTGTAGTAAGCATGATTTTCACTAACCTATTACTTTCAAAGTTAACTAACTCTATGCCCTTTATTATTACAAGCTGGATCTGGATTAACTACTACAGTGATTCCATCAGGTCTGTATTCCTTTTCCTGTCCTATGTGGTGTTGATATTATGTGACATTAATGGACTGCATGTGCTCTGTCTATATCCTTTCTTCTAAAGTTTGTAGATGAACTGTTGGTAATGGTATAAATTAAATGTATGAGTTGTCTGCTTTTAATCTGCATGACTGTTGTACTTTTAATATGAATTTCCTGTAATTGTAGAAATTTCAATTTCTTATTATTTTTAAATTAAATGGTGTGAAAATATTTCTATGCAATCTTTGATATAGATTCTAAAATTAGATATTCTTTTTGAGCCATTTGTCTGGGCCTTTCCTTTGTGAATTTTGGGATTTTGATCATTTTTAATTACAAAAATAGTCCTATATAACTTGCTTCTTTGCAACCAGCTTCTTCTGAGAAAGGTACAGGCAGTGGTCTCACTCTTCCTGTCTTGGAGCCGTACATGGGACGCTCAGCTTCTCCCTCTCCTACTGCAGAACTGATGCAAGGAGCAGGCACCACTCCCATTCTTGCCCAGCCATCTGAACCTGGATTTGGGGAAATGACAGAAAGCATAGAAGAAAATGTTCCTCCAGCAACTTCAACTGGCGGTGAGTCCAGTGATTTCATCTGGGGAGGCAAAACCAGTAGTCCTGTTTCAGGTGCTGCACCTGTTAGTGCCCCTGTTGAACCCAATCCGTTTGGAGCACCCTTTGAACCTCCTGCTTCTGTTTCTCCTGAAACAACTGCTGCTGCTATCTGGTCAGAAGGTGGAGGAGGCTCAGGTGTAGATCTATTTAATTTAGAAGGTCCTAACTTTCCTGAATCAGAACAGCCACCCACATCAGCTCCATCAGCTCCACCACCTTCTCCTTTTGGAGGATTAGATGTAGCAATGGCTCAAGTTGGCAGAAGTTCTACTCCTGATCTTAAAACACAAACATCAAGTCCTTCACAACCTTCAGTTGGAGTTCATGCACAGCAGAAATCTGCTATAGATGATTTAAATGTTGCCATCCAAAAAGCAATGTTAAAACCTTCAGCACAGACAGCTATGGGGGCAGTACCAAGTCCTTTATCAAGTTCCCTTCCACCTACAGGAATAATGGGTCCTCCACCTCATCTGATCAGTCAGCAACCTACCCCTCCTGTTTCCATTGCCCTGACCAATACTGCATCAACTCTTGCTTCTTCTTCCCTCACACGACTTGACTCACTAGCAGGTAGTGGCTCTGTTGGGACTACTCCAACTGGACGTGCCTCTTCTACTCCTGGGTACTGTGGCACACCGACATCAGGGATGAGCTCTCCTGCAAAATCTGTTGCAGAACTTGGAACTACTGGAACAGGTGACTACTGTGCTGTAGTCACTAATTTATAATTTTATTCAGAATTAAAAATTATTTCAAGTTAAATATGTTGTTAATTTTGACATTCAATTATTTAATTTTTCATAAATGAAATTAAAAATTAGTGAACAACCTAAATGTTTTTTTTTAAAGTATAGCTAATATTTATAAATTTTGAAATGGCTTCAGCATTGCATTCAAATTTTTATTGCAATTCTGAAACTATAGATTTAGTTTAAATTTGGATGAAATGTCTGAAATCAAATTTTACAATTAATGCCGATGCAATCATTTACAACCATAAAACAATTTGATTGCAGTCAGTTTCATCCAAGGTCTATTCAAAAGAGAATGTGTTTTCAGTTTTAAAACAAAATTTAAGATACTTATTTTTGTTTTAGTATCAAAGTTATCTTGATGTCTATTTAATTGGTAGTCAGTAAAGTGTCTTAAACACTTAAATGTTGCTTGATAGGACAATTGAGAAAGTGCACTTGTATATATTTCATTGTACATTACATTGCACTTTTTTTTGTTTCATCAACAATATAAAACAATTGTGTTTTAATTTGAATTTTAGTAGTTATGACTTATAGAAGTTAAGGCTATAAGTACAGTTAACTCTTAAATGACTTAAGTTTGAACTATGGAAACCTTATTGTGCTTCTTAAATCCTTGAATTCTCTTTTGGAAATGTCTAAAGTTCAATGCTTGTATTGTAATTAATTTCACAAACTATTATAAAATTTGTGAAATAATGGGCTTTATTTTTTTGCCAGTCAATATTTTGTGAAATTAGACCAAAAAAATTTTTTTTAATAAGAGAGAATTCAAATGACTTTGATATTAATAGTCCAAGTATTTAATACAAAAATACAAGTTATGTATGTAAGGATTATATAAGTCTAAGTTGCCAAAATAGTTAAACCAAATGATTGCTGGATTATATTGGATGGTTATAATGTTGCTAATTATTAAGTCAAATAGAGGTTTACTAGTTAATTAAAAGTAATTTGGCATAAAAGAATTTTATTATAGCCTGATGTAATCCAGCAATCATTAAAAATTGGGTTATTAGATGTTTCTAAAAAAATTGAAATTTTTAAAATTTGTCTGGAGCAAAAAAATTTTTCAAACTTCTGATCTTGTAGTCTTTTTGAGGATAAACTGTGCTTATAGTTGAACTTTTATTATGAACTGTTAAAAAAAAATTAGAATTAAATAGTAATCAGATGTGCAAAATTCTGATTTTAAGGTTTTTCTAACTTTGGAGATGTCTTACAACCTTTACCTGCTGTTTCTGGTGCCAAAATTTCTGGAACATCTGATGCCAAAACATCACATCCAGCTACAAGTAGTTTAATCAAAGGAGATTTAGATTCCAGTTTGGCTAGTTTAGCCCAGAATTTAGATATTAATGGTCCAACACAATCACTGAAAAGGTTTGTTAATTTGAGTTTTTCATTAAAATAGTGTTAATTCTTGAATTATCAATGTGTAACCTTTTCAAAGCATGCAGATTGTGTATTATCTAACATTTTATCATACTATTTGAATTTTGATAAATGCACAAAAATGAATAAACCTATTAAATTTAATTCTTAGTGTACAGTACATTCAGGTAAATTCATTCATATGATTGCATTTTTAATTGTAATTTAGATTAGGAAACATAATTCCTACATAATTTCTTAAAATGTTTTCTTTATTAGAATATTATATAATGTCCTGAAAAAGGAATAGACAAAAATTAATGATTAGGAAATGGTTATCAGTTGTGATATCACAAACTAAATTTTTCATCTAAAGAATTTGATTAAATTTTTACTTTAAGACACAGCTTTCTAATCTTTCTAAACTTTATCTTTTATTTTAGTATTTATTATCGAAAGTATTTGTCTTAAAGTTACACATCTCAAATTTTTATTAGTACTATTTGAGAAATTTTATTTAAAAAGACCTGTTGTAATTACAATTCATCATTAACAACTTGAGGATAGCAATTTATTTTTCTGACCTTTTAGTAAAATTTTGACCTCCTTAGGAAGTCCTTCGTCATTTTATAGAATTGATGTTTCCCAAATGTTTCCTTTTTTTTTTTATAAAAGCCTTAACAAAAATTTAACTTTGTTCTTTGCTGGTCACTTGCAGTCCCCATTCAGCAAAGGTTGTAAGTGAACTTCATAGATTTCTGCAGGGCCATATGCATTTTTATGAAATTGCAGGCTTAAGCTTAAGTACAAACTGCCAGTATACTAAGTACTAAAATTTATGCTAATGTTGCACAAACTAATATAGTTATCATTTTTTTATAGGTGAAGTTTAGCTTGAATGTTCATCATGGATATCAACATTTAATTAATAATAGCAGCAAAATAGCCAGATATAAGTCTGCAATCATTTGGCTTTAATGAACATCAGCTTAATTTGGATTGCATAATACAGGGCAGAAAACAGGAAAACTGTTGCTAAAGCCCCAGGGATGACATAAGGCCTCCTGGACTAAAGATTGTTCATTTTCTGGTTTAGACAATAGTGAGCTTTTAAAATTTGGATTTTTTTTCCCTCTATCAGATTGACAAGGTTTTCATTTGTCTTTAGCATTTACATATTTAAACTGAAGTTCAGTTATTCAGTTTTTAAATTAATTTAATGCTCAAATATTTCAAGAATTGAGTTACTTGTCACTTGAGGCTTTATTTTACTATCTGTGGTAACTATTTTGTATTATAATTGACTTTAGCATTAATTTTGAAATAGTTTAATCACAAGATAAAAATTACTTTGCTATATTTATATATATTTACTTATAACAAATTGATATGAAATAGAAAATTATTTCAATAATACTTTTGAAAAGTGAACTTTTGATTTGATCTTAAAAATTTGATTATTAATTTATGCGAAAAACATTGACTCTTCAGTTAAATATCTGAAATATCCACAAATGCTTTTAGTTTGATTTTATATAAAGTAAATTTTCTTAATGCAAAATTACTAAAATTTGATTTTCTCAATATGAAAATTGATGCTAATTTTAATGTGTAGATTTTTGAAAGATGTTTAATTCAGCATTGTTTTTACAGAATTGGGCATTATTCAGATGTCAAGTTTTAAACAGTGTAAGGACTGAATTCACAGATATTACTAAAATTGGTCATAAGATATGGCAATGCTTGATTCATTTAGTGTGTTATTAATCAGCATTTTTTTAGGGCAGTCTATCTCGAAATAGTGTAAATTGGCGACCAGTAGCCTAAAAAGAAAGGTCAGTCGCCAAGAAAGAGTGTAGTCTGGAACACGAGATAAATAAATGGTGGTCCCTTTTTGGGCGGACTGTCTTCAGAATACCTAATGATATAATTGCCATTCAGTAGAAAATTTACAAATAGTAAAAACTGTTTATTCTCCTCATTGGTAGAACTCTCATATTAAATCAATATCATTATTTAGCCATTGATGATAGTGTTTAAACTTTTAATAAGCTAATCTTTTAGATAAAGTAATTTTAATTTTATTGAGCAGCACTGAATGTTTATACATAATAAGTGTGCACACTGTTCCATTGGATACTCATGTTTTTATGCACTTTAATCTATCAAACTTATATGTATATAAACTAATTGAAAACTGCTGCTGCAAAAGCAATTTAAAGTAGTAATTTTTTTATTTTTGTACTTTAATAAAAATACAATAAAAAAATATTTTTAGTTATAATCACTGAAATGCTAAAACCAGGAGGAATAAAACTTCCATTGGCTATAACCAATAAGAAATTAGTGATAATATTTCCACACATAGTTGATACAACATACTAATTAATAGTTACTTCATTGATAGCGATATAATAATTTAAGTTAGCTTTTGTGAATTGTATCTATGACATTGTTAAATTGTCACTAAATGTTAACAGGATTGTATAGTAACAATGACACTTGTAAATCCAGTTCTAGTTTTGAATTTTCTTATAAAATGAAAATATTGACATTTTGAATTGTTAAACTCAATAGTTAAAATAGTTCATTATTATTAATTTTTTAATAAAATTTCAGGTCAACAGGCCATCAATGGGGAGCTGTTAGACCTGGACAAGCTAAACCTGTAGTCACTACACCTAATACATGGGCTCCTGCAGGCCCACCAACTTCTAATGTAGGTGGCTGGGGATCTCCACAACATACGTTTCAAGCAGTGGTAAGTGGATTTTACTTAATGTTAGAACATTATTTTGTAACGACTTTTTCATTAAATTCAAATGGAAATAAATTTATTTTAATTTATTGAGTGCCACACAATAAAACACATACATACACACAATAAAACACATACATACACACAATAAAACACATACACAGGTACTACTGTATAAAGCAAACGTCTGGCCGTCAGGCATTTGTATTAGGATGTAAATATCTAGATGTAAAAGTAATATTAAATATCCAATAATGCCCTCCAAGCTGGGGATAATGTTGCTGCCCTTGTAGTTGATAGCTGTTTCTATTGGCCATGTAAATTACCAGGTACTTAAGTAGAGGAGGCTCCCATGTGTGGTGAATAAACTGTGCACTATCAATGTTCACCTGCACATTCATGTCCAAGATGTATGTGGCTAAAGCCATAGTAGTTTGCCTTTTATTAATTGAAATGTTCTTGCAGATACTGTATTAATAGACGTATTGTAGGTGTTGACCATCTATTGTCCCAAAGTGGTATGAAGTATACTTCCAGGAACATCTTATTGTGAGGGTCTTTGGTTTCTAAGAAGCATATAGATAGTGGAGTTCCTTCTGTAGGCCAACAAAATTGTCGTCTCCTGCCACTTCTCTGTATGTAGACATCATGGTCTTGTTATACTGCACAATCTTGAATTTATGTTCTGCCTTTCCCATATTTTAGTCTTGTTCCTCATATTTTCTCACTAAAGTTACTATCTAGATGGTACCTGTGCTGGATAGCCAGCTGTTTTATGTACCACAATTCATTAGTTCTCTTTTTGAAAGAAGTATGTGAATGTTGTTTTTACTAAGGCTCTAAAAGCCACTACTTTATATTAGAAGGGACCATATGAGGAGGATGGAATAAAAATTGAATTGTATGTGGGTTTGAAGTACACAGATATGTAAATTATACCATCCTGTATGCATATGTTGATATCCAGGAAATGTGCAACAGATGTATGATGATGATTCATGTGTAAATGGAGGCCAAACAGATTGTTGTTGAAAGAATCCAGAAAAAACCTTGTTTGGTTTATGATGCCAAATAATTAGGTCATCAATATATCTGGAATATAGGATATCATGCATGAATATAGGAAGATGAAAGTACCTGATTTTTCCGGTTGCCTGACAATTCAGTCTCTCTCAAAGGGGGCTTCCCATAGCCACTCTGCACTGCAGGTAAGCCACTTCCTTAAACTGGAAGGAAGAGTAATGGCAAGTTAAGTTGATTAATATTAGCATAGAAGTTGCCATCTTTGCCTATATGATTAAAAAGAAAGTCATAGTACACACAAGCAAAGTTCTATTTTGGTTGACAGCTGCATTGATTCAAAACCATAGTGATGTACGTGTAATTTACATCACTATGATTAAACCATAATGTTCATTCAATGTGAAGGTTGTGTGGCGTTCTTAATGCCTTTATGGTAGTTCTCCAATTTGTGATGTATCAATTAAGAATTTTTTTAGTTTTGTTGACAATGCTGACGTGTCCAACTGGATGTAGTTGATATCCAGGTATATGCACCTTGGCAAAGGCAAAAATTTTCAAAATAGAAAGCACCAGTATGGAGGCATAGCTCATTTTTAAGGCTCTTGCTAAAGGTGTCCTAGTGAAACACTAGTGTTGTGTAGCTTCCAGAAATAGGTGCAATTGTGCATTTTATTTCGGTGATGTAATTAAGTGCCTTTTTTTTTTTTATGTTGCTCTACATGAGGACTAGGTCCTTAGATTTATCTGCCTTGTATAGGACTATATCCTTATTGGCCATCCACTTTCTGAACAGTAATTTTGTAAGTGTTTTAAGTTCTTATGTTATAACCTGAAGATGGTTGATCAAAATGGACAAAAAAATATTTCTCATTAAAATACTCTGGATTAAAGATGTCTGAGATTGTAATATTAATTGAATCCAGTTTATTCACTTATAAACATTTCTGAAAAGTTTTGTTTCCTACAGGGTTCTGCACCAAATCAGTGGGGTTCTGGTGGGATGATGGCTGGCCCATTCCCACAACAGCCTGCTGCTGCAGGAATGGGACCTCAACAACATTTTGGAGCGGTAAGTTCTGGTAATTTTAAACTTAATTTCAACATGAAATGTCATATGCTAAACTTTAATGTTTGTTTTTAATAAATACTGATTTGCATTATCTATAACTGAGGGGGTTAATGGAACTTCCCCCTCATTTATAAATTTTCATAACTCCAAAAAAGTTAAATTTTGAATTTGTGTATTACCAATCCATTTTATAAAACTTCCATAGTTCAGTTGCATGCCACAGATTATGTACCTACATTAATGTAGGTACATAATGTACTTTGTACATTAATAAAATGTTGCATATTAAAGTACTGGTGAATTGAAACACAAATCCTACTTTTTGTTGAATTGTTAGAAATTTTTAAACAATTCTGAAGACAAATTTTCAAAGGATGAGCATTTTTAATACAAAATTGATCATGTATAAACCAGGAATGGACAATTTTTCCCAAAGACCACATGGACATCTATAAAATATCAGATTGCAAGTGAGAGAGATAATATAAATTTTTTTAAACAAATTTTATTTTCAAATATATTCTTACATGATTCTGTGTGCCAACTTTTCACATTTGTTAAAGTAGCAAATGAAAATATTATTTATTCGTGTTACTAGTTAGTCTAAATTTTAATTAACGAAGGCATAACGGCAAATAGTTTTATTAGTTAAGATCTATGCAGTTCTCCACAATTCTGTAGTTTGTAGTCAGGATTCAGATTGCTTGTACTGATTATGTATTTAACTTACTTTTCATTAATAAAATTACAAAATTTGTGAAGTCTGTGGGTTGCACAAAATGATACTTCATATGTTGTCTGTGACATATCCAGAAAGTTCACACTTTAAATTATGCACTAACCGATGATGAATCTGAATGCAGCTTGCACAACACTCTAGCAGCAAGTTTTATGTACTATCCTGTAGAAAGCAGTTTGTTTTATTTTTATTTATGTTCGTCTGTGTAAACACATGTAGACTTATGCATTTTGTGATTTTTCTTTCAGTAAGTAAAAGTGAGTGAAGAGCTTCTGGGATGAGCTAGGTCTGATGAAAATTTCATGAAAAACATCACTGGGGGTGAGACATGGGTTACTGAATATAACATGGAAACAAAATGTCCATCAGAGTGGGTGGAAAAATCTTCACTGTGATCCAAAAAGCATGACAAGTTGGGTTGAATATGAAGATCTTGCTCACTGTCTTGTTCAATTCTGAATATCTGGAGGTGATGAAATGTCTTTGTGAAGCAGTGAGGATGAAAAAATGGACTGCTTGGAAAGAACATCATGACAATGCACCCACACATCACTGCTGATAACAATTTTTGGCCAAGAACTTGGCTGACCCCCCTCGATTTGTTCTCCGGAACAAAGCTAAAATAATAATGCAGAAGAAGAAATCACAAAATATGCAGCACATCTACAAGGCTATGTTGAAGGAGTAAGCAATTAATTTCAAGGATGTTAACATAATTCTGGGAGTGAAACTGCTGACTAGCACTAATGACCAACATTTACTGATGTATTTTGGTTTATTTTAGTGTAGTTTTTTATTGTATGTTTTTATTTTATTTATGGAATTAGTTTTGATAATAATATGAGCTTTTAAAAAAGTTCTAAAAAATGGTTAAGCTCTTGTTCTTATTAGAATGTTTTTCTTGATTGTTAAAAATGATAAAAAATGTTAGTTATATACTGCATCAAATGGTATTTGAGTATTTTATAAAAGTACAGTTTAGAAAGGAATAAATATTTAAGTTTTGACTTAAGACCATATATGGGGGAAATCCTATAACAGGTGGCGAACCTATGGTGCACATGACATCTCCCAATGTGACACTTTGGACATCTGACACACAACATATGAGAGTGGTTTCTCACCTGGTTTTTTATCAATCAGCTTTTTTACATGTACTCTAAAGCATAGTTGTTCAAAGTCTAAAACTCTGGCTCACATAAACATTTTTAAAGACAAGTATGCTCACTATATGGCACATGGACATAAAGGTTTGCCATCTCTGCTTTATACTGTACCTGATATCTATAGATAGATAGCATGACTTAGTTAACACAATTTGACTGAGGTTTTACTGTAAGATTTGATAACCACAATTGGTATTTAATTGAATTATATTTATGCTTATATTTATAGTTGAAATTAGACTTCTGATAATGTTCTATTTTAACAGATGCCTGGTATGCGTCCAATGGCCCCATCTGGTATGGGAAATGTTAATATGATGGGAGGTATGGGTATGAATGTAACTACTCAACAACCAATGACTCAACAAACTCCTATGTATGGTGTACATCGTCCTGTTGCCCCAAGTAGCACAACTTCATCTATAAATGATCCTTTTGGAGCTCTGTGAAGGTAATTACAGAAGAAACTAGAAATATCTGCTATAGATTTCTTTAAAAATGTGTTATCTTTCAGATGATTTCACAACATTCCCTTCAGAGGAATCTAAAGAATGAAATTTTTGTGAACCCATGAACTTTGATGAACTCTGCCTTTTTCTGAATAGCAGCATCAGTAGAAAAATGTTGATGAAAAATCAAAATCAGTGCCACTTACCAGTCAGCTCATAGGAGAGTTGTCATTGTATTAGACATTGGATAGAAAATTGGACAGATCTGTGAAATTTAATATAGGACATCAGAATAAGTTCAGAAAGTACTGGCACTAGCTTTTGTTGAATTATATTGCTGTGATCCCATTTGCACTGCTTACCTTATTAGCTAGATATGCAAATCTTGTGCTGTAAAATTGTAAAATCTGCTGACAGTATCTTTAGTCATTTGTTCACTTTAAAAATGTTGTCATTCGTGTCCCTTTCTGAGCAAGATGTCCTTCATACAGCTGGCATCCTAATAACCTTCTATTCTTGATTTGAGTGAACTTAATGTAATACTAGCTACATCAGCTGGGAACAGTGAAATAGTCTCAATTCCGTTTTGGGTGGAACTTGGGTATATTTTTTTCTTTTTGGGGTATGGAAGATGATGATAAACTGATTTGAAAAATCAGGTTATAGGAGAACTTCATATAAACTTCAATGGAAGTTTCTTGCTATTCCTGCTTATAACTAATGACCATGTTGTATTGTGATTGTGGCTCTGATCACTAAAAATTACTCAATAGTTAATTTGTAAAATTTAACATTACTATTTTTTTGAATCATGTACAAAGCAATGTGCATTTAAATTTTTTTTCATGCCATTTATTTGTTATAATATCCTAATGAAATGGCTAGCACAAATGTTCGTTCTTACAGCAGGAGGCCAATTATTCAGTTATAAAGTAGCTAAATTACATTCCAAAATTGTTAGTTGGCCATGTTGAGCATAAATTCTTGGATTAACACTGTGTTGTTTATTATTTAAGTTAATCTAAGAGCAATACAATCTGTACTATTTACAAATTCTGTATTCTTATTGCAGTGATTTACCACTGATGATGTAACCAAGCCTTGTCTGAAACGGTGTCACAAGCACTGTGTCCCAGATCACAATAAAAGCTGTTCTGTCAGAGTATTAATTTTACAATTACAGAATGATTAGACACATTAAAAATATTTTGAGATTTTCTAAACATTGCTTTGTTTTTTCAAATGTTAAATACATAGTTTGTTTTTTACTAGCAATAAATTTAGTCAATAAATAATGCTTGTTCACACTAGCTAATTTCTGTAATATTACATTAGAAAATATTGATACTTCACTTCAGTATTACTATATATTGCTGCTGTTATCTCAAATGTTGAAGATTTGAACTTTACAAATCTTTAATATAATTCAGATAACTGTAGTTAAATTACTTTTCAAAACAGTAGCAAAACCAACAAATTAAAATAATATTTTGATTAAATATAGAAAATTTACACCAAGTATATGGGTATAAGAAAACTTCAGTCATAAGTAGCCAGTAAAGTATCTATAAGACTGCATGAATTCAGGTAAGATAGAATATTGACTACAAAAAATTATATTTAAAATAACACACTAGTTTTTTAATAATTCAAATGCAACCTGAATTTTGTTAAAACTCCAGTTTTTATTCAATGACATGTTATCAGATTTGTGATGACTTCAGTGATGTAAACACTACAGAATGTAATTTTGTATCATACACTAGTCTTTGTGCATTATTTATTGACTTGTATTTTACGGTAACTATATATTATCTATATAATTATAAATTTTATTTCAATTTTTTTTTGAGGAAAAAGTTAATTTAAAAAATTGACCAAGATTTTTGGAACTCTGTACTATATTCTGTTGTTTTCCTTGACAAAGCACTATAATTTCATGCATGTAACTTGCAGGTTGTTTTATGAAGTAAATCTGAAAGTTTTTCCAGCAGTTGGCATATTATACGCAAGAAATTAGGATAATCTTCCACAATTAAGATTTTGCATTATCAAAACTAAAACTTGTTTTTGATTGAGATGCAACTAAATCATATTAAAGGCATGAATGACACTATTTTCAATATTTTTCAAACTTTTTTAATCTATATATATAATCGAGACGAGTTGATAATAATAATAAGAGCAGAGCCCAAACGGTTAGGAGTTGGAAGCTGAAATTTCGTACACAGTTAGGGTACGTCACGAAAACGCACACTAAGAAGAGATTTTTTGAAATGCCCCCCTGGGGAAGAGGGACAGGATTAAGCTTAACACTTCCATCAACAATAGAAGTGTTAAGTAACAATGGAAGTGTCAACAATGGACGTGTTACATAACAATGGACATTTTAAGAGAAAGTGCAGTTGGTTTTCGTTTTTGCAGGAAATTGAAGATATTTTTAGACCCATGTAAAAATTCTAATTAGTCTGGAAATGGGGGATCAAATTTTTGCATTCTGTGAAAACGGGTAAGGTTGACTATAACGTAATAATCTTTGCTATCGTTACTTTTGCCCGAGCAACGCTGGGCCCACCTGCTAGTAGTAATATAAACGTTTAAAACAGACTAGTCTTTATATACTGTGTGATTATTTTTATTTAATGCCATAATAAACAAGGTTTTGTTAAAATTGAGCAAATTTTTTAAAACTGGCTTCACTAGCTGTGAATACTAAGCAGAGAATACAGCTTGATTAAGACAACTTTTCAAATGAGTAAAAAATACATTATTTGGTAAAAGTGTCATTTTGTTAATAAAGATGAATCCTGCAAGACTTGTACCAATTGATCCTGAGTGTTGAAAATTATCACACACCTGGAAGAGAAGTTTACAGAAGAAATGTAATTTTTAGTTTGTTCACACAAATAGCAAATGGGCAAAAACCACAATGTAAACCCAACAAGAGGGGAACCAAAACTTTGATCTTCCATTCTCCCAAAATATCAACTCAACATTTTGTACTTTACTAGCATTGTCAATCATTGCACAATCCATTGTCAGTTAATGACATTTTGATGTTAGATTCAAATTTTTCTCATTCTAAACACTAGTGATAACCACTCTTGTAAGAAACTTATTTTTATTTGCCTTTCATAACTTTTTATAAATTCAATTCTTTTACAAAATAGTTTTGTAGATAAGCAGGGCCTCCAAGAGGGGAAGGTAGATTTTTCTCCAGTCTCAAAGAAATTTTAGGGTACTGTACTTGTTCTTATTCCTTTAAAAACTTATTTTTAGTAACAAAAATGTCTTAAGACTGCTTATATAGAATGTATTTATTTAATTTATTCAAGAGGTCTGATCTGTTAGATAAAAGTTCTGTAGCCCTGTAGATAAGCAAATACTGTAGATAATGAATCATGGACAATAATGAATATCAGAAATAGAAAATTCAATTCCATATCAATTTGATATAACCATCTATCAATACATATATTTGAACAAAGTTTTTAACTAACTATTGGTAAACAATGAGTTGCATTATTGTGAAGTTCAAAATTATTTATATCAAGCTTGTCTAAGTATTTTTAGTTATAACCTCCAGTATTTAATCTGTTTTGAAAAATTACAGCATATGCAATAAGACTAATTTTCAGCCATAAATCATACTTCAAATCAACCTTCCTATGTCTTAGAAAACTCAGGACTTCATTACGAAACAGTTCTATCAATTCATAGCCTTGACTATACATCTCTTACGACTGACTGAATTAATTGTTTAATATCTGAATTTTAACTTAGATATTGTAATGAGTTTTACCAAATTGTTAATTTTAACAAACCGATATTTTGCCAGTATAATTGGCAACATATTCTTCTAATCAGGTTATAAAATTTTGCTATAAATTACATTGGGATGGATATGGTATCCATAATGAATTATCTAGAAAGTTTTTTAATTAATAAATCATGAACAAACTTAATGATAAAACCGTTTAGCACATTATCATATATAAAAAGTCAAAAATACTTAAATCTAAACTTAAATATTAATTCATATTTCAGTGTAGAAGAATGACAGATAACTGCTGTTGGCTAGAGTTAATTCCATAATAGCGAACTAATGAACACACTAGTCATAGCACCTCTCTTCATTGAAGATTCATGGAGTACAGAATTGAGCTTCATTCACCAGTTTTTACTCAAATATATACAGGGACGGATCCAGTTTTTTCAGGACCTAGGGCTTATTGAAGTCCAATGGGGTCCCATCTTTTATTACATTAAGAATCTTATAAATGGACTTTAAACCCCAATTTAAACATCAAAATCAGAGTTGGAATATATTTATGAAATGGTGTTGAATGACAAACTATATCTTTATACTGTATATAAAAAACCTAAGAAATATTAACAAAACAAACAAAACTTAATTAAAATAGTTAATATTAATAATTTTAATTTTTTTACTGTAGGATAAGTGTCTTTGTTAATGAAAAAGTATTAAAAATTTATAATTCAATTTTTGGAGACCCAGGGCTTAAGCCCTATTAATCCTTATGTAGATCAGCTCCTGAATATATATCTTAACCAACAAGTCTCCCCGTTCGTTAGTTATTATAGACAAGGTTCTATTCGAATCCTGATCCTTTGCCATGTTATAACATGATAAAATTCTTTCCATTGACAACGTTTTGATGCGAGTTTTATAAAATGCTACAAATAGGTTTTCCGACTTAATGAATTTTCAAAATTCTGAAAGAACTTAGCATATTTCCTCCATTACGTTCTCGATTTATTTTTAAAATATGTGTACCACTGGGGTTTATTAACTTGCAACAGGAAACGAGTGGGTAAAAATTGAGATACCTTATTTGTACACTTTCAGAACTATATCAATAGTTTGACTAGTTTCAGCTAACATTTGAAATTTTCATAGTTAACCCGATTCAATGTCTTCAGTTCGGTCATTATGTTGTCATCTTGACGATCATCTGGTTAAAATCAGCTACAATTAGAGTTTTCCTAATTATAATAAGCGTCCAGTTTATGAAATTTATCAGCCGAACGATAAGCACTCAATTTATGAACTCCATCATGATTTTTCTATCTTAATATTCGACAATTCAATTTACAAAAATGCGTGCCACACAGCGAGCGTTTTAATATTTTTTAAAATGTTTAGGCGTCCCGAAAGTTTGACTTGCAATAAAGATATTTAAAGAAATGGAATGAGTATGCTTTAATTAGAATAAAGTTGACTGAAACAAAGATGATAAAGTAACAAACCGAAAGGATAATTGAAAAAAATTGGCAATAAACCGAAATCGTATGACGCGTAAATATTAGGGTTGCTCCGGACGTGCTACAGGTTCTTCACCCTTGTCGTATACAGTACTTCAATGTGTTCAATTCTTTTCAACTCTGGATTTATTTGAATACAGGGTTTTAATCGAAGAAATGCTGTATTCGAACTATCAGGACACCGTGATAAAATTTTTTTTAGCAAGTTTATTATGGTTCGATTTAGTCCACAATGGATTGGCCAGATGACGAGAGATGAAACGTGACATCCGGACAGACAATCTCCGGAAACTTTCCAGGGTTTTTCGATTTTGATCTTTCCGGAGCGCTTTAACCGCTCGGCCATCCGTCTATCTGCAATTTAAGGAGAAGAGTTTGCATTGACTAACACTACGATTTTTAAAAAGTTCTGAGATGGACGCTTAGACAACTTTATTTTATACGTAAGACTAGCTGATTATTTTAAGGTAAAATCATGAATAATTCGTGTTTAAAACGTGTTGTTAGACCTTAAAATGTCCGCTTCAAACCGAATACTAAATTGCAAGAAAGTTGTTCCATTTACATTAAATTTATCCGAAATTTTCTTGTGAACTGAATATTGAATTAAATACTGTACTTTTATAGTTTGATTTTACAAAAAAAGATTTTTTTTTGTTCGTTTACAAATACTTAGTGTGTGTATCTATGCCTCAAGTGCTACAAATCACAAGATACTATAGCCATACTATACAGACACGGTATTTGTATATTATGAAACTTAAATCGCAAAATCTTATTTCTGTATAACGAATTTACACGTGATGCTATTAAATGGTTACAGAAAAGATTTTTTGTTTTAAAATTCTACCTTTTAATAAATGTAAAAATAATTCGAAT